TGAATAATTTGGCACAACAGTTAAATAATGCCAATCCTCTAAAATTTTCGGGATTGTCCCCCACTCCACCTTTGTGCAGCATAGTGAGTACGATGTTGGACCATGTATTCGGGATAATAGCTGTGTCAAAAATATAATTGAATAAAGACGTTAAATATAATATCCAGTTATTGGGGAGGTTTTCATAGAATTCGTAAGGTATACCATCTAATCCGGGAGACTTATCTGTTTTACATTTGTCAAGTACATTATAAAGTTCATCAGGTGTGAATGGAGTATCGAGAAAGGGGTGAGTGACATCATAAAAATTATGAGTAGGAATTTGTCTGCAAGGATAAATATTATCATAAAAAGTTTCCCAAACCTCTACAGGTAGTCCTTTAGGTCTAAAATTATTTCTGAATTGTTTGACAGCTAACCAAAATTCTCTGGGATTACGCAAATTAGAAAACTTCTGGATTATTTGAGTTTCATAATATTTTCTCTTCATTTTTATGAGTTCTTTATATTCAGATTTGAGATCCAAGTATATTTTTTTCTCGTTTTCCGGAAATCGCTGATTTTTACAGACTTTAAGCGAATCTAGCATCCGTTTTTTAGCATTGGTGCAAACAGTGTCAAACCATGGCTTATTATGATAATTGTTTGAACTAGAACTAGGAGATTTACTGAATCGAATCAATTCTAATTCAGTGGATACTTCAGTTATAGCTGCGCAGAGATTATTGAATGAATCAACCTGATTAGGGATATAACATGCCCTATTTGATCGACACATACTTTGTTTATAGTTCGATGACAGGTCAGCATTCCATTTGAAATGTTGACTTCCGAGATACTTATGTTCCACAGAGTTCAATGTGGGTATATGACAATCAATTATGAGATTCACAGGAAAATGATCAGACATGAAATCGTTGCCTTCGACATAAAAGTCAATTACTTCAGAAAGAAATACATTATTCACCCAGATCAAGTCTATAACACTCTTACCCAGTTTGCTAACGTAAGTAAATTCACCTGGCCTGTCTGAGAGCGATCTGCCATTTAACACCGAAAATGAGTTGTTATCCATGAAATCAATTAACTGTCTTCCTCTAGAATTAAGTGTACTATCTAGGCTCAGCCTCTTTTCGGACAAATTTGAATGTTCTAATAATTCAGTAGGTAAATATATGTTCTGTCTGAGATCCTACAGTTGAAATCACCACCCAAAACAATCATAAGATCAACGTATCTCTCAGACAGGTCAGACAATAGTACTTGTAATACATCCAGCGCATGTCCCACATCAGAAGTTGGTTTGAAGTGAACACTACATAGTATAAATTTGTATTCACCTGAAGTCACCAAGCAGCAAATGATAAAATCAGATTTATATAAAATGTTAATAGATAAATTGCTTTTATATATGATACATAGGCCACCACTGGGTCTACCTAACGACTTCTCCTTAATGGCTAGTGAAGATAGACAGTTGAATTCAGTTAAACACGGAAGCGTTAAAGAGATGTCGCTAGTGTGCCAAGTTTCACTAAGACAAAGAATATCAAAATTATGTGTTTCTTCGACCAGATTACCAACGTTCTTGAAACCGTGGCAATTTCAAAACGATACTTTCAGTTTTTTGAGTGTGACGAAGCAGCTCTGTTCACTTTGGTTGGGTTCATATTAGGGGATTGTTCTTCTTCACGCGTTCTCTTCTGGGAAGCTGGTATAGGGACTATAGTGGGCATACCAAATGCAAATTTCAGCTTCACATTTTCACCATTTGCTTTACGACGGTTGAGTTCTTGGTAGATTTTGGTAAGTTCTTCCCTTTGACTAGGGGTGTAGTCTTTCTTTATTTGTACATTAGGGTGTGATTTCAAAGACGACTTATTTTTATTCCTCAAAACTGAGATAGCATCCTGGCGAGAGGCGAATTCTACTTTCAAGGGAGAGATTTTCCCTGCATTTGGTTTTCCAAGTCGCCTAAGTTTAGTAAACTGTGTGAAGATGGGTCCAATTCAGCTAAAATCTCGTTTACCACTTTGTTCTCGTCAGCAGTTTCAACTATCCCATAAAGGATTAGATAGATAGAATATTTGTTATTGGAGAAAAAAGTCAAGACAAACTCTTCTGATAATTTACCAACGAAAAACTTGGATAATGTATTGAAACAAAAACGAGAGGACCCTACCATTTCTACGATAGACCTAAACTTTCTTGAAGATATTCCTCTATACACTGATTCTTCCCAAACTTTATTAGAAGATATTCCAGAAAATTTCATAATGCCAAAGCAATTTGATATCTGAACTGAAATTGATTCAAGACGTGTTTCAGTAGCTGGTTGATGTTGCAGCCAACCCAACCGAACCCAATTTCCTTTTCCTTCCACGCCAACCTCCCTTCTCTATACAGAATAAGCGATGATGAGTTCTCCTCAAGTAAAATTATCCGGAAGTAAAATACCTCTCCATTCGGATTTTCGGGCGAGAGGTGCTAGAGGGGGTTCACCATCGACTGAAAAAATCCTCAAGATAGACCTATGTAACATCCGAGGTCTGAGTGAGAACATCAACGATGACCATCGACACCTTCAAATTGAAAAGCCAGACATATTGGCTCTTACTGAGACACAGGTCAATTCATCCACCAATGCGACCTATCTGCTCTGTCCTGGGTACGAACTCCACACACGTTTCAGATTCAAGGGAGGTCTCTGCCTCTACTCTAAAACAGATTTCTCATGTCAACGCGAAACAATTTTGGAACCAAATAAGTTTGATGTCATGTGGTTCAAACTCGATAGCCAGAAACAGACCAAATACCTTTCTTGTCTCTACTTATCACCAAATGATCCATCCTATGAAGAGCTCTTCGAATTCTTGTCTCTGAAGCTTGACAAAATTCAAGAGAACCATCCAGCAGCAGAAATCATCATCATGGGCGATTTCAATGTACACAACACTGCTTGGCTCGTACACAGAACGGATGAAGCTGGGCGACAAGCTGAAGCTTTCGCCATCACTCACGGCTGAGACGGGATGAGACGAATTTGAGCGATTGATTGATTGATTAATAGCAGAATGATCAGTCAGGGTTCGAAGCCCAGAACACTGCAGCCTTTGGGCCTATTGTATTCCTGATCATGCTGTTGACTTAGGTGAACAGGTTCACTATCTTGACAAGGTTTAGCAGCCTCTTCACCAAATCATTCTCTGGAAAGGCCTCTGGAGAGTTTACTGCTCCCAGAAGGTTGTATCTCCAAGGCGCTAGTGCTTCGCACTCTAATATTACATGGGTGGCAGTTTCCTCCTCCTCATTGCATAGTCTGCATATGGGTTAGTCTGTGTAGATGCCCATTTGATGCATATGTTTCCTCATGGGGCAGTGACCGGTTATAAGTCCCGTCACTTGTCTGATCTGACTTCTGTTCAGGCTCAGAATGTCGTTAGTCACTTTTTTGGACAGTGTTCCAACCATCAGTTTACTGTGTCTTTGTCCTGGGACATTGTTTCAGTACGCCTGATGTCTTTCTTGCATCCACCTTGCCAGCCAGCCGTGTATTGAGATTTTGGGGATACCGAACACAGGTTCCGGTCCCATAAACAACGCCGCAGACCCTTGCCTGGCAAGAGCGTCAGCTGCTTCATTGCCTTCATTTTCCTCATGCCCTGGCACCCATTGAAGAGTTACTTTGTTGTGGTTAGCCAGGGTTAGCAGGCTTTGAATGCAATCCCAGACCAGTTTTGATCTGATTTCATCGCATGTTAAAGATTGAATGGCCGCCTGACTATCTGAGCATATGAGGATTTGTTTACCTCTGTATCCTCTTACAATATTCTCTCTCAGGCATACCAGGCAGAATACTGAAGCATACCTCCCCAAGGAAGCACACATCTTGGCTCTGGGTCTATCTCCATATATTCCGGCTTCCTTGCCCTCATCAGTCTTAGAACCGTCAGTGTACCACACTAACGTGCCTTCCTGACAGTTAGTCAAGATCATTACATCCCAGTAGAGCTGAGTGTTGAAGGGTCTGTAATAGTTATTTCTAGGCAGCATTTTGTCACTTCCCATTTCCATAAGTGGGCTTGAAACTAGGCTGATTATTTTTGTGTGTTCCAGGGAGTCACCCCGAGCATGCCAGTTACCACTACATTCCAGTTTGTGTGCCCTTATCCTCGCTTCCGCCTTGATAAAGGTTTCAAGAGGTGTAATTTTGAGTATGGTTTCCATAGTAGCGGTAGGAGTGCTGCGCATTGCACCTGTGATGCAGAGACAAGCTAATCTCTGGAGTTTCGATCCCGGGAAGAAGAAAGTGTTAGTGAAGAAAGGATCGAAATACCCAGAACTGATCCGGAATGCAAGGCAAGTGAATTACTCCCCCCTCACGTGGTGTGTCGAGCCAACAAGATGTGGACGACGTGGACAGAAAATGGTCCCAAGGAATGTCGGTATAACTCCAGTAGTTCAGGATGGTTTGATGCGTTAATTTCAGCTACTGGCTGAAATGCCAGATGATTCCACGTCTGAAAAAATCGGAAGGCAAAAAAGTTGTATTATGTCACGATTTGTTCTGTCACGTAACCGTGTATTCATTGGATTTATGCCGCCAGAACCAAATAACATCAATTTGTTTACCACCAAATAGCACATATTTGACGCAACCCTTGGATGTGGCATTTTTTCGGCCACTGAAAATAGCATGGAGGAGAGTACTCTCGGACTGGAAGGAAATTGCCGAGGGTATTCGTGATACAAAGATCCAGAAGCACAGCTTTCCACCACTTCTGTCAAAAATGATGGACATCATCAAGCCAAATGTGGAAGATAACTTGAAAACGGGTTTTCGAAAATGTGGAATAGTCCACTTATACATTGAAGAATTTCTAAACTGCATTCCAAGATCGTCTTGTAATCCATATGATATTCAAGGCGCGTTTCTACACAGAATTCAAAGTCAACGAATGGAATTGACAACAAACATTTAAAGCCGTACCAAGAGAAAAATGGATAATCCTCCCGAAAATGAACAGAGTGATGAAGATATGTCTGACAATAAGATGATAGCGAACGAGCAAATGCCCACAACTTCATCTGGAAGTGGAAACATCGAAATTATATTAAACGATAATTCTTCAGACGACGTCAATTTTGATGAACTGGTGGCAGAGCAACAAAAAGAACATACCTTCTCAGACTATGTAGAGAGAAAGTCAACTGACGTTAGTATCGTTAAATTTAAAAATATAGTTAGGGAAATGGAAAGTTTTGTTTACAGATGGAGCCACATTGAAAACTGACCGCTGTTTGTTTTTCTACGCAAGTAATGTTCTTTACTGTTTGAGTTTGGATGAAACACAAGTTGAAATTGCACTCACCTTGGTTCTTGAAGTGGATGCTACTGCAGCTGCAGCTTCCAACTTGTAGCGGCGGCAAAAGTGGACTGTATTTTACTGCGTTATCGAAGAATCATGCACTAGGAGCGTATATAGAAGCGATAGCATAAAGGCATGCGGATATAAGAGAATTTATATTCTTTGCTGTGTGTCACCTTTAACTGCTGAGGACACACTGCTCGTTCCTCTGGTACTCCAGTCTTCTACGCATGCGCGGCGCCAAAACGTGCGAATTTCAACTTGGATACTAAATTTTAATGGAATATCAAGATGAACTGAACAAAGCATTAATCAATAAGAATATCTCAATATTTACCTGAAACTATATTAATAATTTATATTAAAGACTTACTACTAAATTAATCACTAAATACTATAAATGTGAAGAATGCACACGGAATGAACATTCTCCCCCCCTAAATTAGGAAATAATTTTATGATGCGTTTTCTGATGGCATTGGTAAAGGACACAGCTTTACCAAGGTCCTTTTCAAAATACTTTGTCTGGTACGAACGTCGGCCACTCTAGCTATACCGTCTTCACCAAAATATAATTATACAATTCGCCCAAGAGGCCATTTCAATGGGGGTAATGACTCGTCTTTGATAAGAACCATCGTTCCAATTGACGGAGGAGAAGTCGGGTCTAACCACTCACCACGTTGCTGAAGCGTATGAAGATATTCATTACGCCATCTTTGCCAGAAACTTTGGTGAAGACGCTGAAGGAGTTGCCAACGGTTTAATCGATTAATCTTCAGGTGACTCAAATCTGGATCAGGCAGTGAAGACAAAGGTTCTAACGTCAAAAAATGTCCTGGCGTTAAAGCTGAAATATCGCTCGGATCTGTACTTAACGGACACAGAGGTCGAGAATTCAACAGCGCTTCTATTTGCGTTAAAAGGGTATAGAACTCTTCGTAAGTCATAATTTGATCTCCTATCACTCTACGGATATGAGTTTTCACTGACTTGACACCTGCCTCTGCAAGCCCGGAAAAATGAGGAGAGCCACTTGGATGAAAGTTAAATTCTATGTTCTCCGATTCCGCTGCAAGTTTGATGATATTAGAAATTTGATTACTGGCTCCAAGAAAATTTGATCCACAATCTGAATAAAGCTTTGAAACACGACCTCTTCGCGCTATAAACCGACGAAGAGCGGCAATGAAGGCTTCACTTGTCAAATCGGAGGCTAACTGAAGATGAATGCATTTTGTAGCGAAACATACAAACAAGCATATATATGCCTTGTATGTCTTAGCCCCTCGTAACCTTCCCATAGTTACGTTAAATGGGCCTGCATAGTCAATGCCGACACATGAGAATGTCTTAATTTCAGATACCCTTAAAGTCGGTAAGTTTCCCATTTTGGGTTGATACGGCTTTGGAGTTAATCGCCAACATTTTTGACATTTTGAAATTACATGTCTCATAGCTCGTTTAGGCGATAAAATCCAAAATTGTTGAATTAACAGATGATGCAAAGATTGCGTACCAGGATGTAAAAACGTTTTATGAAATTCTTCAATTATCAATTCAGTAATTCGAGAGTTCCTAGGAAGAATTGCAGGGTGCTTTTGATTATAAGGTAGTGACGAGTTTGTTATCCTACCCCCCACTCTCAAAACACCGTCAGATGGATCTATAAATGCATTCAGTTTTCTAAGAAATTTTGATGCCGGTTTATTATTTCTCATATTTGAGATATCAATTTCAAAATTTGTATTTTGAATATATTTTATAATTAATGTAGAAGCTTCATTGAGTTCCAAAATTTTACAATTGCCTATCCGTTTGTTATCATGATTCCGGCAGTTATGCAAGAAGCGAAGAATATATGCAATTATTCGTTTGATTTTTGAAAAAGATGAAAATTTATTGATAGCTGAGCCAATTAGATCAGGGCAATCGAAAGCGGCGAAATTGAGATTTTTATCTTCTATACTGTAATCCGAACAATTATTATGCAGATTAAAATCTGGATTTGTGATTGGCCAGAATTCTTCGGCAAGATGTAACCAAGGAGGACCTGAAAGCCATTCTTTATATTTAATAAACTCTGAAGGTAGTAACCCTCTTGAAGCGCAATCTGCAATATTATTTTCTGAAGAAATGTGATGCCATAGCGAGGGAGCAATTCTTTTTTGAATATGCGTTACCCGATTACTAACGAAGGCCTTCCTTCTATGAGGTGAGGATTGTACCCAATCCAAAACAATTGAGCTATCAGTATTTGCGAAAATTTGTGAAAACTTCAGATTAACAGCTTTCAAAATAGCTGAAAGCAAATTCGAAAGCAAAACAGCTGCACACAACTCCAGCCGTGGAATTGATACTGTTTTTAACGGTGCCACTTTTGATTTAGCACAGACTAGATATGTTTCAAAATGATTAGAATCTGATGATTGGACGCGAAAATAAATAACACTGGCGTACGCCTTTTCGGACGCATCACAAAATGCGTGAATTTCAATTGAATGGTGATAATCTAATAATATTCTACGCGGAATATCGAGAGTATTCAGTAGGCTAAGTTCTGATTTATATTGTTGCCATTTCTCACATATGTCAATGGGTGGTTTTTGATCCCATCGTATTCCTAGACACCAGAGGCGTTGCATCAGTATTTTGGCGTATGTCGTTAAGGGCGTTAAGAACCCCATAGGATCAAAAATACGCGCGATATCCGACAATATTGCTCGTTCCGTACATTCGCGAATTGAACTTTCAATATTATAATTGAAAATATCTGTGGAAGGTTGCCATTGAAGGCCCAGAATTTTGATAGTCGATTTTGATTCCGAGTCAAAAGAGAATGACTGTAGGTAAAGATGCGAGTCGGGAAGATCTTTCATTAACACTTGAGAATTTGATGATCATTTACGTAATTCAAAATTGCCCTTTTCTAATATACCGATAATTTGGTCACGTAATTCTTGAGCATCTTCTAATGAATCACACCCTGTAAGTATGTCGTCGACATAAATGTCATTCTCTAAAATATTCGCTGCTAATGGAAAATTATCCTTTTCATCATGAGCTAGTTGCAAAATAGTTTTGTTCGCTAAATAAGGCGAAACCGACATTCCAAACGTCACACGAGTTAGGCGAAAATCTCTGATATTTTCATTTGGTGAAAACCTCCATAAAATTCTTTGGTAATCACGGTGTTTTGGAGTGACCAGAATTTGTAAGAACATTTTCTGTATATCTGCGGTAAATACTATGGCGTGAAGGCGAAAATTAAGTAGGATCGTAAAAATATCCTTTTGTAGTTTTGGACCAATGCAGAGAGTGTCATTGAGCGAAATACCTTGAGGAGTTTTAGCTGAAGCGTCAAAGACTACTCTAAGCTTGGTCGATATACTATCCTTCAGTATATAATGATGTGGTAGATAAAATACATTATTGATTTCTTGAAGGTTTTTTATTTCTTCCAGATAGCCTAAATCAATATATTCTTTTAGAAAATCAGAGTATTGTCTGTAAATATCTGGTTTACAAAGCAATCTTTTTTCGAGCGCGATGAATCTACGTAGAGCTATGTCGCGGATATCTTTGAAAGAAAATATTGGATCATCATTTTTGAATGGTAAAGTTACGATATATCGACCTGATTCGACTCTACGACAAGTATTACGAAATATTTTTTCACAAAGCGTATCTTCAGGTGATAATGTTATCACATTTGGAACTTCCTCAAGTTCCCAAAATCTCTTTATTGAATTATCAAGTACAAAACTATCAAATTCAGTTAAACAAGAAAGCGAGACGGCATTATTTGGTAAATGACAGTTATCACTGGCTACAGAGCCCATTAGTATGTAACCAAAAATCGTATTTATAGCGACCGGGGTATCAGCCTTCCCTGTGATACGCCCTTGTTTCAAAATGTGCGGGAAAAGTTCGGCTCCTACAAGCATGTCTATAGAAGCTGGTAAATAGAATTTCTCATCTGCGAGTGCGATATCCTGTATATGAGACCAATCTGAATAATCAATGATCGTGTTTGGAAGGTCATTACATAATTTTGGTAAAATGATTGCGTCGATTGTGATAACTGGTGCATTTTTCTCTACAGGCTTAAGCTTACACGTTACTGCGCCACTGGATGTAACTTCAGTCATCGAACCTAAACCACGAATTGAAAGAGAATAATTATAACGAGGAAGGCCTAGTCTGTTGACAGATTTCTGTGAAATGTAATTAGTTTGGGAGCCGCTGTCTAACAAGATTCGGACTTTATGAAAATAATTGCGAACGTCCTGCACATCAACTATGGCAGTCGCGAGTAATACAGTATTTGAAGTTGAGACCATTCCGTTGAATGAAATATTTGATTGTGCATTGATGGATGTACTTGGATTTTCGAATGAATCTCCCTGTGGAATTAATGCTTTCTGATTTGAAGTAGGGGTGACAGTGTTTTTATTATTCACATGAAGAGAACTGTGGTGTTTTCCAGAGCAAAATCGACATGTTAAAATTGATTTGCAATTGTGCAACGTATGTTGAGTACTCAAACAATTGTTGCATAGTTTATTTTGTCGGACAAAATTCAATCTGTCTTGCGGAGTCTTGTTAAAATATTCAGAGCATCGATAAATGGAATGGTCTTTTTTACAAAAGGCGCAAGAATAGGATTTTTTTATAGAATTGGAGAAATAGGTTGATGAATTTTCTTTAGGTTTTGAAAGATTGGTATTCTGAACATATTTTGTTTTGCATGAAACAGACTGTGACCTAGTGGCTGAAAATTCGATTGCGTCCAAGGCATTGCACCTTTTAAGTACGAAATTCCTCAATGATTCGAAAGTAGGTATGCCATTATTGATGATCGGCTCCTCTAACTCGAAACGCGTTATAGTTTCCTGATCCAAATGTTTTGAAAAAATGTAATA